CTGTCAATTTGGCAGGATTGGCTCGGGCTGGCATCCAAAAGCACATGACTTTTAAGGAATTTACAGAAAACTTTGCAAGGGGACCGCTTACAAGTGCCTCATGTGCGTATTAGTTTCGATCNCACGACATGGCGTGGGAAAACTTGCACACCTGGTTACCGTACTCTGGCACTACTACTACTACTACCGGCGGCAAGCACTCAGGGCCACAATTGCAATACCCAGTCAAGTCAGTCGCTGAGGCCCCACTGTTTTCCTACCACACTTCATCGGCAGTTTGTCCAGTTTATCCCACAACACTCCTATGCATGAATAGGTTCGGGTGGAAACAATGACAAATCTCTGATACACCGCTAAACTCAGTACCACGAGCTACGTTGAAAACAAATGAAAATGCAGATGTCTGCCGAGAAGAATATGTTCGCCATATGCAATCTATGCCTTAATCCATCGAGCTCTCCGTTGGGTGGGGCATGGCCCATGAAGTCGCCCCCGGTATTCCGCCCATGCAACCAAACACTGACACAAAACGTTGCACGCCTGGGCCCATGTAAACCACGACACTTCCGTGTGGATTGGCTACCCGCGCTCCCCATGTCAGGGGTCCTCCCTCCTGCTGTTGACTCCCGGATTGCCCACGCACAAACGCCAAACGTTGGCGCAGAAAACAGACAGGCCATTGTAGTATGGCATCAAACCACGCATAATCCACAGCGGCTTTCAGCAGCAGTACTGCTTGGTGAATGCGACCGGCCGTGTACTGCCAGTCTTAGCACCGATGAACCACCCCCTGATGCAGCCGCTGATGCAGCAGGCATATGGGTCTACACCGCCGAGCTCTGACCAGTTTGTTTTGAACTCGCCTACACAGGGTTGTAAAACAAGGGGGGCATTTCTGTTATCATATGGTATGATGTTTCATAGACGTCGGTATGTATAACATTATGCAATTGGGTGGGGTGAGGTGAGGTGGGTTCCTCCTTTCTAGGTTGCCCACTCTTCCCTGCCACACATCTCATGTCGCCACTTACCAGTAGCACCACGCGACTTGACGCGGGGTGGCACATCCTCTGCTTCGGTGATGGCGGCTGGTGCATTCATCGGGACCACAGTTCCGCCGCGTCCTCGACGGTGCCAGTCTCCGCGTCCCTGTGTCCCTGATCCTCCACGGCCCCCTCCGATGCCGTTTTGATCTTGAACAAGAGGGATTTCGCGTCCGAGACGGTAAGGCCCGGTACATTCCCTCTCAGTGCCATGGCGGCGCGAAGCGGGGATAGCTGGAAATCCTCTGCAATGAAGGACACATTGTCTTTCAAAACACCGTTCGCAAAGTTTCCGGTTGTTCTCGGCACGGCACGGGGACATCGCCGCCCCACGTCTCTGGCACGGACTCGCGCTTTTCTCTCTGTGATCAATCTCTCACCTCGGAACAGTTCCCGTGCTTCACCAACGGAGTAGACGCCGAGATCTTCTTCGAATTGACGACGCACAGCATCCACCCGTTCATCGTCCCCGTCTAGCACATCGTGGAGACACGTCGCGAGAGCCGCGACATCAGACTATAGACGCAGCAGAGAATTAAATAAACCCCGAGTGAAGGCGAATGGCTGCAAGTGCACCATGGCGCATTTGCATGGTTGGAAGCCACAACGCAAGAAAAGACATACCGCGTCATTTGGACTTCGTGTCAGCTGGTCTCGAGGGTCTCCATCTTCCGCAGTGTCCTCCAGGGCGACATCTATAGCGGCCATTTACTCGCCACTCCTACCCGAAAGTAACCTATCTTCTATGTAATCAACGCTAAACGCTGAAGTTGGGTAGGAATGTAATACTATTGTAAGATTATCGACTGTGACATGCTTGCAACCCATACTTACATGCGCACCAAACTCTTGTTGTACGGAAGCGTGGTGTATGCATTAATGCATGACAGTGCGCGGCGCTGGAAGTGCTTTTGGTATACTTATACATCTCTATGCCGTTGTTGTGCAATATCTAAGGCGTGTTCCTTTTAAAAAGCTGAAGGTATTTAGACAGTAGGGAAGCATTTCTAAAAATCTCGGTAAACCATTGTAATAAGTATGCCAGTTTATATTATCACCATAGGTTCTTGTGTCGAACGGTGCTAAATGAACCATGGTGCATGCATGGAAGTATTCGGGGCGGAGAAGTCTCAGGCCTCTGCTATGGAAGTCCTGGAGAAACGTCAGCTTGATTGCAGAGTCTGTGGACGCCAGCACACGATTAACTCGTGTTGCTGTGGCCACCCAGCGCCATGCACGGTCCTGTACCCACAATTTTGTGTTCAGGCGCTTTGTGGCTTCGATGGATCTAGCTGTGGAGCTAAGTATGCGTCCTTCGCAGCCGTCGCACCGGCAGTGTTGGATACGGATGCCGGTATGCCATGTTTTCAGACCCGTTGTCGCAGCGCCGGCTTCGAAGCACCGCGCCGTTGCCCGGTCCGTTACCCATGCCGGGCGCCCGTCCAGCGCGCCCCGCCTTCCTGCAACAACTAGCCGAGCGTCGGCGCCGTGTTA